CAATCAACAAGCACAGATAGGACAAGACATGACAGAATGGAGTCAATTTCAGGAAGAAATCCAAAATTACAATGATTTCGCAAATGAGAATGGAGAAATAGCATATGACTTCAATATGACTGGATGGGATCCAATACCCCCCATCGCTGGACAGAAAAGATCTCGTTCTCCAGATTCCAATATTCATCAAGGTCCGAGTAAAAATAAAGTAGTTGCTCAACCTAATCACGAAATAATCAATGAGGAAACTCCCTATGATGTTATAATGACAGGTTGGGATCCAGTAGCTCCAAAAGCCGGACACAAAAGGGCTCACTCTCCTGAAGTTGAAACTATGCAGACGAAAAGAGGTAGAAAGGTTATAAAACACGACTACTACCGTATGCATCATGGAATGTCTGCAATTACATCATCAGATCCTAAAACATGGCAAGAAGCTATGACAGGCCCAGAAGCTAAACAATGGATGAAGGCAGCTCAAGAAGAATTCTCCTCTTTGAAAGAGAAAGGTGCTATAAAAATTATTAACCGCAATAAATTACCCAAGGGACGACATCCAATGAAATGTAAATGGGTTTTCAAGAAAAAATTTCTCGGAGATGGGACTATAGATAAATGGAAGGCCAGATGTACAGCAAAAGGCTTTACGCAAAGGTTTGGAATCGATTACCAAGAGACATTCGCTCCAACTCCAAGATCGGAGACTGGTAGGATCATGCTCGTGTTAGCTCATCAATTTAATTGGCACCGACGGCAAGGAGATGTACCCACAGCTTTCCTTAATCCCGACTTAAATATTGATCTTTATATGGAAATTCCCCAGGGATTTGAAAAGAAAAACCATATCATCTTATTGCGAAAAGGTCTCTACGGACTTAAACAGGCAGCTGCGCTATGGTACGATGATGCCAAGGCTACATTGGCAGCGCAAGGCTTATTTCCAACAACATCGGATGTATGTCTATACACAACCAAGCAAAAAGACTTGTTTGTCTTACTACATGTTGATGACTTCCAGGTCATGGGTCCGAATCTTACCAAAATTGAAAAACTAATGTCAGCTCTATATAAAAAGTACAAGCTGAAAATGGTAAATACTGACCTCTTCCTGGGAATACACATCTCCAAGCCAAGCAAAAATATCCTAGAGCTCTCGCAGGGACAGTATGCCCGCTTAATTCTTGATAGACATGGACTTACAGACTGCAAGCCGGCCAAAACGCCCCTCGAGAGATTAATGGAGCCAAGTACCTCTGATTGTAGTCCAGGATTCCAAAAAAGAATATAATTCAATGGTTGGTGGTCTTCAGTATTTAGCAAACAATACAAGACCTGACATAGCACATGCAGTTAACCATTTAGCTCGTTTCTTGCCAAATCCATCAGAAGAACATTTCGAGGCAGCCAAACGTGTTTTACGATATATTTCAAATTCACCTGACAAGGGCATCAATTTTACCAAAAGGGATGACATGAAGCCAACTTTAGAAGCCTATTCAGATGCAGACTTTGCAGCGGATCCATCTAGCAGCCGGTCAACTTCTGGCTCACTGATCAATCTTGGATCTGGACCTGTATGCTGGAGGTCACATTTACAGCGTGAAGTTGTCTTATCTACAACTGAAGCTGAGTATCTCGCTGCAACAGAAACCTGTCGCCAGTTACAGTGGGTAAAATCATTGCTTGAGGAATTGAATTTACTCGGCATGATTGAAGGATCGAAGCTAACAAATTTATATGTCGATAACCAATCAGCTATTTCTTTGATAAAGAATCATGACAATCACAGACGTTCGAAACACATTGCCCTCCGAAACTTCTTTTGCCGTGATCAGTACCAATCTGGAAAAGTTAATGTGATTTATGTTCAGTCATCAGAACAGTTAGCTGATAGTCTGACCAAACCTAAATCAACAGTACCACTGTATGGCAGCATTAAAAGTAGAGATGAGAATACCAGCCAGTGATCAATGGGACTGTAAGGTTGTTGCCAACAGAGGGAGTGTTGTGATCAGACCCACTTATAGATCACACAACTTGGAATGGCTAGTACTGGGCAAGTGAACCAACAGGACAAGCGACCCTGCGTCAATGATACGTCATCGGCACACAGCAATGACAACACCAGTATCTCAACCATACATGATTATATGATAATATGACGCAGGTATATCTAATGACATAGTTGTTGAATGGCTGAATGGTTGGCAGTTATTGCTATTGATGGTATATTGTATGTATTGTCTTTGTGTATAAATACTCGCTACTAGACCTCTGTATATGATCAACCTTTTCCACTCTTATATTCAATAGTCATCAATATAGCAGATCTACAATATATATCTGTCTTCTTCACGTTAGACTTAAAGTGCTATCCTACATCAACCCAAGTTGACTGTTACACCCATTGTGACAATTCTTAGACTTCTCATAACCTCATTATTACAATATAGTCGCACTGAGCCAAAGTAGAAGCATCTTGCTGTTAGAATGAAGGGAATTAGCCGGAGACAAGACGACCTAATATACAAATTGATTAACAAAAAAGCAAATTATGTCAGTTGCCAAAAGCACTGTCAATACCGGAGTAATAGAATTACCAAAAGAACTCCACTCGATGGAGCAGGTCCAAAAGCGTCGAACAGCACAAGTGATAGTCGGACAATCAGTCTGCTAAACTGCGACAAGTATTGGAGCAGTACTTTCAACTCTCTTGACAAGTGATGGCAAAATAATGTAGACGCTTTCCATGTCCATCCGATGGCGGTAATATTCAAGGTCATCAATGCTATCCCCCCCACTGAGCGAATCTTTCTCGAGAGCTACTTGGCACAGGAGTCTCTATCCTCTAGCTGCAAAGAAAAGCTGGGCTTCGCTGGCTCAGAATGGAATGCGCCAAGCTGCAGCCCTCTTATTCACATCTGCAGTACCCACTGCGTCTCATTAACCAATGAACGACAGTCCCAAGGCGAAAGTCGATAATCGACCCCTCCTCTGCCAGGACGCCAATTGTGAAGGACTGTTACGAGAAAGATCCGTGAGGTGGATAATGGTGCATCCAGTACTGAGTTAGGCAGCTGAGACGTGGAATAAGTGAGGAATCAGGCCTCAAGTTGGCACATTGGGACTGACAATTTTGAGGTATTTTATGGACGCCAATACCGAGGCCTCGACTTTTTAGCCAGAAGGACTTCATTATCGATGATTCTACGGTACGGAAATAGTAAGACTAATCTATATAACAGCAATCAAGCTCTGTGAAGACTTCTCTGACGATTCATCATGGCCTTCGGGAAAGGGTTAGAAGGAGGCTAGAAAGATAGAGTGCGAAGTTCCCGAGGTATAAATAAGTCTACAGTACCCGGCTGGTCAGCCTCTTCGAACGCTTCAGAAGGGTCGCTATGTCTTTGGATCTAGTCCTCATATCGGTATTAGAAGAGCTCTGTAGCCAGTAGCTTTTGCAATGGTTCCCAGCCATCATACACCGGCAAACAGCCATCATTTGCATAGCTGAAAGGCTGGGAAATCTAGGGCAACGGGCTCTCATATTGTACGTTAAAATAAGAACTCGTGGGGCATTGTATTGTCTGAGGGTAGCTGTTGTTGAGATATAGGATATAACACACTACTCGAATGGGTATCCCTGGCCCAAAGGCTGAGAGGACCTACATGTGTTAGGTATTTGTAAACTGAGGAGAAACGATAGAATAATAAATAATGTAGCATGCTAAATACCAAACATATAACGCATCCATGCACATAAATGTGGGCCAAATGGCTTGAGATTGGTAATTGCTTCAATTTATCATTAATTCCCACTCAAAACGGGTCTCGTAATATATAGCTACAGCTCGCCATATAGACCGGAGATCAGAATGTTTAAGATTACTATGGGGGCTAGTATCAACGGAGCTGCTAGCTTTGCAGTTGCTGACGGGAAAGCTAGACTCGTAATATAGGCAGGTCTACAATAGTTATATCTGAATTAAAATAGACGCACTTTGATGTCTGCTCGATCTCTCAGCATTGTCAACTTCAACTGTCGGGACAAGCGAGTCATTGAATAAGTGTCGATAGTGTTCCCAAGCCAAGCCATGCCATGCCTGCACCCGCGTCGATGTCCATCTACCGCAGAAGGATGAAGCCTCTGAGATCCATGTCATCCATAGGATCTCTCAGCTTCCTACCATTTTAAAGGCATCTTACTCGTGTACCTGACTTGAGACCTTTGCGGTACTCCATATTGAAAGGCTATGCTGAGCTGGAATGACGTACCGTTAGGATGAAGGTATGGAAGGAGGTAGCTATGGCTTTAAGAGAAGTAAAGTTTGTGAGTTATACTCTTAGGACTTGGATCAATGGACGAACTTGAGGATATTCCCTGTTATTCTCAAGTGTGTGAATAATATGGAGATTGTTTGAATTTCCTATTGTATGAATTGCTTGATTTATCTACGTGACAGGACCTTCCTCTATATACATGAATAAGGGGGTTCTGCACACTAGTGGATGTTCCAACATCTGTCCTTGTCTAACCGAGAAAGGAAGGATGTGAGAGATCCTAGCGCCAATAGATACCATTAGGAATCTATTGGGAAATACTATGTCATACCAATGAGTGATGATTTAGGTCAATCATATCCCATGGCGCATGTGCACATTATTCTAATGTGAACAGTTTATTGTAATGCAGTCATGTTACTCCCTTAATTACAACACTCCATAAGTCGCCAAGTCTACCCATTTCTATAAGATATAATTACTGTATGTTTGGCAACATTGTAAACAAGTCTTCATCCGTGAAAAGGACTTACGCGGCTCTCTCATCATTAGAATATCAGTTCCTTCACGCCTTTCAAGTTCAACAGCAAAGTCATCACGGTTAATTTCTCTGACTTATCCACTCGAGCCACAGCGACACCTGAAGAGCATTGTGGGTCGATTCAGAAAACAGTCCCGTCTAGATACGACTAACAGCCGTACAGTTAACTTGCTCTACGATGAAAATTGTTCTTTCACATCTCGCTATTGCGCTCTTGAGAGTTTTTACGCCAGCACTTGCTCTGACTTTCGATTGTTCTGGGGTTAAAATTCATGAGTCTGAAGTGACGAGACAAAAGCAAGAATGGGACCGAAATCCTAATCCACCTAGAGATACACTCAGCGATGGTACGAGTAATAGATATAGTTACTTCGAAATCTCTACCAGTCTTCCTTTTTATCAAAGTTAGCCCCTCCATATAACTCTGAGTTTCCACATGACTGACATTAATTGCGCCAAAAAGTCGGTACATATTATCGCTGCTATATTGACACAGGTATGCCCCAACCAGATGTACGGGAGTGGGACGGATCTACATGGAAGCCGTGTACTCGTGAATCAAAGGATTAAGGAGATGCGGTAACGGTTACGGCTCGTACTTGCATTTTGTTAGGAACACTGAGAGAGTTGAGTCACAATAGCGAGAATAGTGAGTATGATATGCCGAGATTCACCTAGGGTAAAATTCGTGGTTTCCAAAGTTGAGAAGTGAGGAGCGAGGTTCACAATAGAGGTTAAAAAACCTATGAGGATGTAGAATTAGATAATGAGTGTGGCAACAAGATACCTATGCAGATTGTATTCGAGAAAAAGAGAACAATACAAATTGCCAAGTGAAAGATCTGGGTAAGCCGTGTCTTCCGTTTCTCATAATCTGAACAGGCCGTTAATACAATCTCCGATTCGTCCTTGAACCATCTACTGCACGATGGCATCTGATTTAGAGTGTTAATCTCCTCAGATTATTAGTCTGGAAAATAATACACGGGCGCTTCTTTGACCCTTAAGTCTTGACTGTTTCCGAAAGCCTGTATTAATTATTTATCGAGGTATACTTTTATTACGCTGGTCTTGGAGAAGATATGGTAACTAATCTCTGTCACTAAAACTGGGTAGTCAGCTAGTTTATTTAGTACTCTGACTCAGGATAAATTATTCAGGCCATAACTACTGTGATCGGTAAATGATGTGAGAATATAAAATTGCGCTGGAACATCTAAGACAGTCTATGGAGAAATATCTGCATTGATATGCACAAGTGAGGTTTCTGTGAGCATTGTTCTATTACAGCTGTGGGAAGCTCGTCTCTTGTCCCCCTAACTAGTCTGCTTGTAGATCAATCACGTAGCCAGTAGGCAGCGCAGCTTGGTCTGCTCCGGCCTGAGTGGCTTTACCATTTTTCCTATATCAATAACCAATCTCTCATTCTGCACCATTCGAAAAATTCGAAAATCCCTTGTTCCCTTTTTCCAATCCTCTCAATCTCATCGCATTTATCTTGGAATTGTGGCCGAGCTCAGGTATTTTCCCCACTGGACATGAAAAGAAGGATGGAAGTGGATTGAAAGTTCACCCCACATGTAACGTTTGATGTTACGGCAGGTGATCTATGGAGTGGCGATAAACCCCAATTAGAATGGAAAAGATAAGTTGCATCTAAATAGTCTGTCCTACATAGTTATAAACTCTAATAGGACATAAATGGATTATTATTATTATGGAGTGGCGATCGCCTTCTGCTGTGAGTATCCTAGTAATATATATATATATAGTTCATTATCCTGATTTGGCGCCTTGAGGCCCATGCAGGTTTTTATCGGAAGATACGTGCTTTTAAGTAGGATGACTCAATTTGACGATTAGAACACTCACACTCAGATTTCATCTGCTGATACCACTCGAGGTTAACCCACACGGCGTGTAACCTCTTCCGTGCATACCCACCACAGGGCAAAGCGTGAAAAACCTATGGCTATCCGAGTGTGCTTTCATCATCCCACAGGTACGATATCACCGCGAGAGAGAGCGGTGTGTGGGTCTGGCTGGATTTGAACCATCTTTCTCCTGTCTCGAATGGAGTAGGTGTTCAAGCTACCCAGTATCAACTTGGGAGAACGGCCCGGATGGTGTACCACTGTACCATACAACCCTATCCTAGTAATAACTAGACGAGTAACTAAGAAAGGATATACCTGAGGGTAAATCTGGTGGGTTGACGGAGTTGGCGAGACGCCAGAACGTTGGGACTGCGGGGCGAGAGGTCAAGACAAGCTGTAAGATATTTTGAGAATATTAGACTATGGAGATATAAGACTGAGAGGCTCAAGAACTCTTTAGGGTAACTCCAGCTTCCTTAAGTACAACTACTACGCGCTAGATTTAATTGAGGCTTCTTTCAATAGTCGTAGACTCAAATCAGATGTAAAAAAAATGTAAGTGAGGCTGTGGAGGCTATGTCATGGTGAGCCCTTCCAACTCCAATTGTCGGAGTTCTCCCGGAAATCTTCTCATTGAACCTTTTCCCGAGAACCTTCTCCTTGAAACTTTTTCAAGGATGCCTGGCCATAACATTTATATTCATTGAGCTTATAGAAGCAGTAATGATGATAGGCCACAGACGCAATGGTAAATCTGACTGTAAGTGAAGCGCTCGCATCTTTTCAGTGACTGTACTAACGTTTCATTCAACAATTCCATTTTGCTCTGGAGCATGTGACGATGACCTATGCCATTCAATGCCACGAGAAAGAAATTCTTCTTGAAGTTCCGAGTTTAAGAATTCAGTACCACTATCTGTGTGAAGAACCTTTGGAATTTTATCATATTTTGTCTTCAGGTGTTGTAGAAAATGACAAATTTGAGGTGGCACAGTTTTCTTAGAGTAGACCGGCCAAGCCCATTTTCAAGAGATAAATTCATCAACTGCAAGAAGGAACCAAGTAGCATTGGGAACTGATTTGTCTATGGTTGTGGTAGATAGAAATTTCTGACCACCAACTAGATCCATATTTATCGACTTTGTAATCTCGGACAACAGGCATAAAATAATTATGGATTGTCAGATGTCGATATGTGTAAATATACTTTAGGTATTGCAAAGAAAATGTAATTAAAGTCTAGATGTAAATGTAAATGTAGATGAAAGATAATTGATTATATTAAAAGATGTGTTTATCATAGAACCTGCCCGTCTTCACCTCCGGTCCAGGTCACTTAAAACCTATTGTTGTTATGACAAAGGTCATACTCTAAAAGTCTATTAGTTCACTTAAAGTTATGAGAGTACTTGTGTAAGTATTTCGAACTATCGTTCAGAAGAAATGCGCATTCATGGTTCATTTGTTATCTAGTTTACAATGATGCTACAAGATATTAACTATGTTGCGTTCGGATAAAGTATTATCTGAATGACAAAATCCACAACAAGAAGGAAATTGTTTGCATGTAAACCAAGAACCATCAACTCCAAGTAAACCAAGCTTGAGATGCTATTCCAACACCCATCTATCCAAAGTATTCATACGTCATCCATCCACTTAGCAACACATTAAGACTTAATCTTTGAGTTAGATCTAGTAACGGTCCCGCTTACAGTATGTTACATTAATGTTCGCGATGGTAGTGTTTTCCTATGCTAAATATGTTCCATGCATCTACACCCCTCTCAAGGATGAGGGTTTGACAGTGTTCCACGGGGTGCGTTGTATAGCCTAGTGAAGATCTAGGTGGTAAGTGAAGATTATAAAAGGGTCAGAGGGATGACAGGTCTTCTCTAGGAAGAGATGAATGGGCAACTTGTTGCAGTAGGTGTTACACGTGGGTCTTGCTGATGAAGAACTGAGCAATGGATAAATGGTCTTCCCGAAGAAGAGATGGGTAAACAAATGTATTGTAAAGGGTAAATAAAGAAGACGTTGCGTGAGGAGTAAATCTCTCTCACGCCGAACTATTATTAAATTGATGTCTTTGATTAACTACCCCTTTATCTTATCACGAATTAAAATTAGGATTAAAATTGTAATTGCGGATCCGTGAAAACCCCTGAGTCGTGTAACTGCTAAACATGCACTGATGTAACAGTTTAACACACTTGTATCAAAACTGAACCTCTCATACTTTGAATCATAGAACTTCGGATTATACTCCAAGGATAAACAGTAGCCTGAAATATATCCGAGCATCTCTGTATATTCCTGGCCCTGATCTAATCCAAACACATATGAATACCTGTTATGCTCAGCTATGTAGTATGGTACATCTACTAGCTGGTGCATAGGAAGTTATTATGGCAGCATGGCATCATGGCACATGAAGGAGATCCAGTCTCTACATAACGACATTACAAGTAGGAATGTGTGCAGTATGAGAGATGGGTTGTTGATATAGGATAAATGGCATGGCTGCTCAGTTGGTTGCACACTTTGGTGAGCTGCATACTGGTAACGTGATTGGTCTACAGGGAAACAAGCTAGGGGATAAGGGACGAGCTTCCCCCAATCTGTAACATAATAATTATCATAGTCACTTCACTTCTGCACATTAATGAAGACATCTCTCTACATACTATCTTAGCTGTTCCAGCGCAAGTGTACATTCTCAAATCATATACCAATCATAATAATACCCTCACCAAAAGAGGAAGCGATGCATAGGGAACCATGTCCCTTACATTTGGTTATTTTGATTTTAGTGCATATCTCACATTCAAGAGGAAACCTAGAAACTTTAATTCCAGCGGATTCTAGCATGGCATTTTGAGCTTTCTGCCCAGGATGGCCAAGTATACTGTGCCAGTCAGAAGTTACTAATATGTTGTGTGTTTTCATAGTGTCGGTAACATAAGGTTTGCAGATTAGTCTGCCAGATACTCGGTGGAATTTAGCACAGATTGTATCATCTGGGCGAATGAGTTCGACGTCACGGTAGACGGAGGCCATTTTATAGAGAGCCCCTGTTTTTCTAGCTGTGCTGTTGAGGATTCGATGTTTTTGACCTGGCATGTGTACAGCACCTTTTTGTCACAGGCTCATACCTGGTTATCATTAGGCTGCTGCCTAACAAATAACGCTTGAACTCTTCCAACCATATTAAACATCATACATGTCATGAACCCCTCCATGACTCATTAGACCCAAGTATAGGCCTTGGCCCAGTTCATGCAAATCTATTTGTTTAATGACTTAACAATCAAATGATCAATATGTATTTCCTTAGAACTAATGACTAATTGTGTTGATGAGTAATGAGGTACCCGTTTGGGAATGGCGTTAGGAGACGGGGGTTTTACGGTTTATAGATGTTTTTCTTCTAGGAAGACAGGGGGGAGATAGATCATTTCATACGTACCATAATTGTTACTGCTACATCAAGCTTGTGATATCAATTACCACCGAAGTATTCCGACACTATTCTTAAATGTCAAATTTAGATTGCAGACAGGACGACTCTGACACCAGTCGTGAGTCATCTAAGCCACATGCATCATAACTATTTTAATAACTAAAATTACTAACATTAAAATGAAGCTGAATTAAAATAGACGGAGATGCTGGTGTTTGTCGGAGGACAGG